TTTTTTTTTGGGCTGTTATTCTTTGGGCTTTTTTCCTTGTTGTGCTTTTTTCCGCGATTCACATTTAGATTCTCATAAATCGGAGCCTAGCTAAATAGTAATCTATAAACATAATTATTATAGTGGGAAGGATCAATAACAAGATATTATTGTACTTTGTCAAAACAAATTTACGGTATTTTGTGATTTGCCCAACGTGTAAAATGTGCGTAACACTAATGACTAGGCATATAGAAGGTACCTGCTTCGAAAGAAAAAACCAAACACTGAGTATCGGAGTAAATATGGATGTTACAGGGACATACACAAATTCAACGATAAAATAATCGAGCGTGTCTATTACTACATAAAATATAGCGCACAATACGTCATGACGTACGCACAAACATTGTATATAAATAGATGTTTATGATTGAAAATTGAATTATTAAAGACTGTAGAGAATTCGTCGGATTTCGGGAGTTGAAATATATGCCCGCAAGTACATATAGATCTACACCCGTTGTAATAATACAAACACACGGATGATTAGTACACCATTGGACCCACACGGACCACACTGATAATAATGTATGGCCGACCGTATATTATTATCACGTGTGCCACCACACAAACAATACGTCATAGTCTCCGACATCATATACATATATTATGATATTATGGTAATATCGTATTATGATGTATCCGATTTTTGACGTAGCCGAATGTCGAAAACGTCATCTACCCGGCGATATTTCAATCCGACGAGAGTCGGTCACTCGCCGCCGTCCGTCGCCCAAACCCGGTCCGACACGATACAATATTAATATTATTTGTACACCTAGGTATGCATTGTTAGCTCACGTTTCACAATGTTTTAATATACACCCATATAATAAATATGTTGCAGTTAGAGTGTTGAATCAGTTAGTTTATGAAATAACTAGGTAATTTATAAAAAAATAACTGAGGCTTGTAGGTAATGTATATATAATTTATACTTTGACTAGTTATTGTATACGTTCCCCGGCATCACTTCGTTAATGTGTCGAATTGTAAATGACAAAATATCATGATAAATAAATATAGTTCCGACATTTTCAGCGATTTAATGCAACGTATTTAATCGGATAAGATTGACGTCCTTTTATTTATTATTTTTTTATTTGACATCTACCTACACATTATAATTACAGGAGTGTTATTACAACTATAATTATTATACTTTCGATCATAGTTCACAGTATGTTCTGAACATTTGTTAGCCGTAGAAGTCGTTCCAAATAAAAAGTATTACGTTAAGATCTGCGGCAACTGCGCAGTCACTGGGAACTGGTCAGGGTTTTTTTAAGTGTATTTGTACCAAAAAATGTGGCACGAAGCGATGTGTTTGTAGAAAAAAAGAGGAGTTGTGCAACTCTAAATGCCATAATAGCCTTACACGAACAAATAAATAAATTATATAACTATAGTCAATTCGGTAAAATAAAACATTTTAATATATAATATTTTAAATTGTAATGTATTTCATACTTAAACGGATATCGAACTGAAACCGTATAGAATAACTATAGATATTTTAAATTCGTGAACTACCTAGTTATTTCATAAAATAACGGAATTCAACACCTTAGCTGTAACATATATATATATATATCAGTGGCGTATATACGAATTATTTTCACTATGGGCCAATTTATCAATTATCACTAGTCAAGCAGCATAGCCATAATTATACATTTTTAAGGGAGCAGCTGCGTGGTTATATAATTAATAATTATGAAATATTATACAGTACAAATAAAAATTGCGCAATTCAATTTTATAATTATTACGTAATATCAATTTTCTTTTTTTAAAAATATTGACAGTGTCGTTTATATATTTTAATGTTATAATACTATGAATTTAACATCAAAGTCAATAAGTCATTAAAGCGAGTCCCGCCAATATAACGTTTCCTTGTTGATTCCTCAAAAATGACTAATCAACCGGCTAACTTAATCATGGTGAAAAACTGTAAACAGTGTAAATATACATGCAACGCTTTAATTGAACATGCAATTTCACTATGGGCTCTGGCCTAGGGGGCCTCCCCCTTATAGACGCCACTGATTATATAATATATACCCGTAGGTATGCAGGGACTGCGCCGCGGCGTATCGTGTAATGGACAGTATTAATAATAATAATAATAATATATAAGTATATAACACGTAATAAAATATTTTGTGCTCACGACGACCAAAGAAAAACCGCTTTCCTATTTTGAGTCATAGCCGCATATAAATATATATATACCTATGTCTATACATTGCCTACCCGCTGCGGGGATCGTAATAGTCCCGTCACAATGTTTGACCGTACGAGTGAAATATATAATATTATTTATTACGCGCGGTAAGCCTTGCGTGTATACCTGCGATGGAAAACGCCGGATCAAACGCCAGATCAAAAAAAAAAAAAACAATAATAATAGCAACCGAAGAAACGGAGAAAAGGATATATCATATTATTGTACGGAAAAAGAGTGAAGAAGAGAAATAAAGAAATTCTACGAAATATATATATCATCAAGTTTCCGTCGGTCTCATATCGTGATATCGTGTGACCTACCTACCCAAACGCGGTCCGATTTTAGTCGACGACGACAACAACAACAACAATACGTAACAGGCACGATACACCGAGTGTTATTACACCTTGTGCCGCAATGTTGTCTTGACCTTTGTGGGATTACCGATCGGATTTCGGGTTGTTTTGGTTTGAAAAAAAAAATAAAATCGGCGATTTCCACAATGACCGCGGGTGGCCATCGATCCCGCCCGAGCCCCGATCTCGTACGTCGCCGGTGGGTAACCCACACGCGCGTCACAATACGCTTTTCTGTGTTATAATATAATAATAATAATATTATTATTATTATTAGTATTAGTATTATTATTATAACGCAATAAAATCGTATATGATATACGACTGCCGCAGTGTCCGCATAACATCCGTCGTGAGCAACGTGTGAATTTCTCCCGAACAACGGGCCTTTTTAATTTCGCCGGTGTAACGGATGTGATGGAGACACGATAATAATATAATATATCATACGGTATAATCCCGTGTGGTACCGGCGACCGAGTGAATGGTTGCGGACACGAGGACAATTATTAATGGACTGCGCGAGTACGTTTCGGGTCCGGACAAACGTCGCTTTGTCGGAATCGGCGGCGGGTGGGCACGGGACGCGGCGAGTGTGGGCACGTCCCGTGTCCGCCAGTATACTATTGTACATAATATATATTATATTATCGGGCCAATAATGCAGCGCCCATATATGCGTGTTATGATATTATTATTATTATTATTATTATTATTATTATTATTACCATTATTGTGCCACGCAACGAGGACGCGATGACGGCCGCAGAGAAAAGGGACAAAATGCGCCACATGATGTACACACATACCTGGGTATAAGTATATACCGATGTGTCGAGCCATCATATTATGTTATTATTGCGTGACTGCAGGAAGTCTAAGTGGCAAGTGCGTTATTAATATGATGTCACTGTGACCGCCGAAACGACGTGGTATGTATAGTTACCACTGCGAACCGCACGCGATAGGTTATATGGTCGCGGTCCATGTCGACGGTAATAATGTGATAATAATAATGCGTATTCGTACGACTTCGATGATCGAGGAAATAACAATGACGGTATATTTATATCTCGCCGACCCGACGCATGCGCATTGCGAGGACAATATACGATGTACAGTGCCAGAGCCAGACTTACGGGCGGACGACAGTCGTGGGTACGGACAATCGTGCTAAATTTTAAAAGGCGCCTAGAAGATGCCAGATCGATTACGTCAATAAAAATATTTATTTTTTTTTTCGGTTTTTGTATTGCGTTTCATTGAACATGTACCTAAATGCTCAACACAAATACCTAGTTAAGTTTCACGAATACAAAAACATTGGCAATCGGTCAAAAAGTCCGGTGACAAAAAGTCGAACAAAAAGACGGATTCATTTTTTTACTGTAAGCCAATTAATAGTCGGATCACATTTCTATATTTTCAGGCGAAAAGTCCGAAAGTTTAAAATGTTCTATTGGATTTCCAACTACAATTATATACTCCTACTAATGAAAGTAATATTAATGCGAGTTGATCCCGATTTTTTTATTGAATAGTTGTGTACATGTTTTCTTAAACAGTTCATATTAGGTATAATTAGTTATAGTTATACATTAGTCGATTGGCCGGCCAGCCTGGCACCCCGAAATCAAATTTACAAAGTTAAACCGTACCTACTAAAAAATTATTTTTCGCAATAGTGTGCATACCTTTTCTACAAAACATCTACATTGTTTGTATTGAATTATTTTAAATTATTATTACTGTAGTCATCGATGTTTCTATTTTTTTTTTTTAATTTGTACAAGGAACTATAATTTAATTTTTCAGACTTTTTGATAAAAGCGTGATCGGACTTTTTGTCCAACAATAAAAAAATGAATCCGGACTATTTGTCCAACTTTTTTCAAAATTGATTTTTTGTCCCCGGACTTTTCGTCCTGGATTCATGCCCGTTTATAATCGGGTTCCCTAATTTATGTATTGTTTTAAGAATTTATCTTTCAGCTGCGCCAGCGAACTGTTCTGGTGATAGATCTTTTTCAGCTCTTGGATGAGTTAAAAACCATTTAACCACTACTTTGTGAGCAACCGATTCAATGCTTTATATAGTGGTTATTAAATTATAGAAGCCAATATCAGCGTGTAGCAATGAAATGCCCTAAGAACGTGGTCAAGTTAGGAATTACTTAGGTAATTTCTTGGTGAAATCTTATTGTACTAATATCTAAATCTTAACTTGGTATCAGACAATAATATCAAAATAACGTTTTGGAGAAAATGTGACGTTCCTTAATCATTATAAAAACTGTGAAAAAAAAAAATGTTCCATAAACTTTTATATTATATTACTCATTACAATAGGTAGTTAAAAAAAAAAAAAGTTAAATAAAAGATATTATACTGTCGCTATTACATCGGTTATCACACTAGAGTGTAATATAATCACATAAAAAAGTGTTAGTATATTCTTATAACTATATAAAGTGGCCAATACGAGTTTGAAAGGCATGGGTGTATGACATAGTTTCAAGTGTTTATATTTTAAAAATGTTCATCTGTTACCGCGGTTAAAACGGAAGCGGTAAGGCGACAGACTGTGACTGGTGAATATCAGGACAAATTTAATCCAGCCGGATCGTTACAGATGATGACGCCGAAAAGACTTCACGACTAACACTGTGCACCTAACTACAATTATTATAAAAGCGACTATATAGAAAGCGAACGTAAAAATGTATCCGTATCCCGTTCATGATATCATGGTATAATAGTTATATAATAATTATAATGAAATAACTATAGGGCTCGGTTGTTGTTTCATTTGCGAACTTTTTTTCCCATTGTTTTGATTTTCTGCTATAAGTAGGTTTTAAATTCGTTTCATGCGAGTACGAATTTAAATCTGCATAGAATTTTTAGTGCAACTCTTTGCAATTTCGTTGACCTTCCTAATTTTTAGTACAATCTTAGATACACAATAAGTATTTACAACAATTGTATTTTTTTGTTCTTATTGATGCGGTCACCGTCGTGGCCAACCGGAAATGCGATAAGGTGATGCCGTGATTATTATTTTCCCAAAACTATTACGGAATTATTATGATTCATAATATGTATAATGTATATATAGTATATTTTCATTGTATTGCGTTTGCTATTCATCAATTTCGTAATATTCTTATTCACGTTTAAAGACCGAAGAAAAACCAGTTTAGTTTGAATTTGAATTGTGTAATATTTTATTTTTAATCGTACCGAAGAAACAAGATAAAATAAAAATCAAATCAAATTATGAAAATCTGTTTAATTCGAATTTGTATTAGTTAATTCATTTTTAACGCGAATTTTAAGTGTGATTTTGTGTGATATTTTTCTGCAATTTTCAAAGCTAGTGCTTAGTGCAATAACTTCCGAGCCCTAGTAATGACTAATTTTCGCGACGTCAACGGCCGTCAGCCGGTATCTAAAGGTCGCAAGAAGAGCCCTCGAGCACCACCCCGGGTATGATCTCAGTCCTCGTCGCTCTGGACAGTTGATGGTTCAGCTCGTTCTTGTAGTCCTTCGACCGTTTCACGTTGTCTGCGTCCGACCTGCGACCGTAATCCTCTTCTATCCGCGTCACCCGGTCCGGTCCCCCGCCACCGTACCCTCCTCTGTCCGTCATTCTGTCGCCGCCGGACTTAGCCGACGAGAACTCTATAGTCCGACCGTCCAGTGACGGACGTTTGTAGTTGGTCTTTTTCAAAATCGCCTGTGAAGCACACAATAGAAATACAGTGATACTATATGATGCTTAAATTGTTGCAAGGAGAATTAAATGTGCAATAATAATACAATGTCATATTACAATGCGAATTATTATATACATGTAGTACAATATTACAGTGGTGAGCAGGGGCGTGCTCACGGGGGGGGGGGGATGAGGGTGTCATATCATCCCATGAACTTTTTTTTTTATGCGTAATTTATAGTTCTTCGATAGTTTCGGTTTTCTCGGAAAAAAATAGTAATGTGTAGGTAGTTAGTTCATTCCACCCACCCTTCATACGAAAAAGCTGAGCACGTCACTGGTGGAGAGTAGCCAGGAATTTTCTTTGGGCGGGAGGGGGGCTGATAATGTATTTACACAGATTTGGTTGAAATCTAGGTCTCTCATAAGTTTAGCGGTGTACCTACTAGTATACCGATGTGGTGGTGTTGAGGTTTCGGTTCTTGTTCAGCCATACAAATTCGTATTTGCAGTAATATTCATACACCATAAAAATAATACCCACAGCAACCAATATAAGGTACAGCCTCCCCTCCCACAAATGGCTACGCCTCTGTAATATTATGCTATACACTTTGAATTATTATTTTTGTATTCAATATGCTACAGAAAGATTGTATAATGACAGCAGCTAATACCTGAAAATTGTAAGGAGGATCGTCTTCGTCCGTGTAACCCGACTGGTACTGTTTACCTTTTAATTGGAGTTCAAGAACAGGATTTGATTTATCCGATGGTCTGAAAATTCAAATTTAAAGAATTACAGTTTTACTTCGAACTAATATTATTCTATACGTTAATAATTGATTTACTGGTTACAAATTTGAGTTTGTCAAAGTCTTCTAGGGTATGGAGAAACACGAATTCCACGAATTTAAAATTGTACATACACACATATAGAAATATAAAGTGTTATTAAATATTTACTATGTACCTATGTCATATCTTGAATGCATTGCAGCGACCTATACGGTATCTGGTATACCATATTTTTTAATTCTACCGGTATGCAGTTTTCAAAAATTTTCAATAAACGTTTAATTAACTTATCAATAGTTAAAAAAAATTTCTCTATACCTATTATATTGGGGCACTGTTTGAATCCGAAAAAGTGGTCATTGAATGATCACTTAAGATATAAAAAATTAATTAACTATAAAATACATAATTGTAAATACTTTTGATCAATACCACAAATTTGCATTAGGTAGGTTAAATATATAATAATTTTATCAAACTCAATCATTGATACATATTGTGCTGAATCGAATCAAATTTAAAACTTTAGCTGGAATTTAGTCTTACTATAATAATTGAAAATCCCCTTTTCAACATTTAACTTTTATAAAGTTCGTAAAATAAAATAATGTATAAATAAATTAGTATTAATTTGATTATGGAATATTATTAGTAAGCCTAGTGTAATTCATAAATTAATTTTGTTATGGCTCTTACTGTCATCCGTACTAAAAGTAAGCTATAAATACGAATATTGAACGACGAACTTTTTTATGTTTGATTTGTTCACTGTAGTGATCACTTTCGAATCGTTTTTCCCGTTAACACTGTATCTGTTGTCACTCATTGGTTGTCTTATTGGTTTTTCATCCTGTTTTTGATACATACGATTGTTTTCCTAGTACAAAAACACTATATTAAATACTTGTCTACATGTTTATTGAACACGAAATACTTGATTTGTGCTTACATAATATTGTGGTTTACTGTTTTCGGTATCGGAAAATCGAACTCCTTGAACTACATCCACTTGTACGCCTTGATCTGTTCAAAAATAACATAATCAATAAACCATTTCGTCCATATAATATACACGAGGAATACAATAAATGTTTTACATTTCGTATGTTTTAAAAATGTTATCGTTTGTGATGTCATTATTGTAGTAATTGCACCGAAAGGTTATTTTATTTATATTTATTGACCCATCACAAAGGAATACTGATAAAAATAAATACGAATATCGATCACAAAATATCCAAGTATGGGTGCGTCTACTAGTTTCAATCCAATAAAAATATTTTTAATACCCATCAACACGTAATTATTATTAGTTAGTGTGAAATACTAATTTTATTAGGTAACAGATGTCAAATAGTTGTGTGAAAACCGAATCAGAAAAGTTCTTTTAAAATATGTCCATAACACATTTCAGTGAACACAAAATATTTGTTGAGACAATATACAACATAATGGATGTATTTCTCATTTTTCTGGGGGCCTTAGGGCCTAGACCCTATATAATCAATCCCTGCCGGAGAGCTGGTTGTTTCATATACACGATATAATCTGCTATGTATGCACATAAGTGAAGACTGAACTATGTTACCTCGGACTGCGAACGAGTGTTTCAAAATTTTGAATGCAGTACGAGCTTCTGGAAAACGATTCAGAGGAGAGTCCCAATTGCAGTCGTCCACATTGTTCACCATACTGAAACAACAACAGCACAATGAACAAATGGTAAATCAATAGTCAATACAAATTAAATTAATATATTGATTATAATATTGTATAAACTGAAAGTCTTATGTATAACGGCATAAATATTTTCACCGTCTATGACGAATTTTCAATAAAAAATAGGCGAATACAAGAATAGTAGGTAATAAGATTTGTTTAAATTTAACATATTATGTGTTAGTAGAAGAAGGTATTATGATCAAATAATGATTAGTAGCATGGTATTATGTTTGAATAAAATAAAGTCAATTTTTTGAATTTAAATTAAAAGCAAAATTAAATTATTTTATGTTACAAGATTTTTAAAAATTATTTCTTTGTAAAAAAAAGTCCTAACTTCAAACCCCAGGTATGCCGAATCAGCTCTGCTGGCTTGAACGACTATTCTTCGGTTGTAGTAACTTGTTTTGAATTTCAAGATGAAAAATAAGGTCTTTGTGGAAATTTAAAAAATATAATGTTTGTCTTGAACCAAGGAGGTAGGTACCATTACAAACATTAAGCAACAATTGCGTGGTATTTGAGCAGCTTTATAATATTTCATCTCACATTACATTATATAAGCGATCTGTACTATAGTTAAAAGTGATAGAAAACGAAAGTTTTGCTTCGGAAATATTTAGGACGTCACGTGATCCGCGGACGATATAACATTACGAGCAATACGGCAATCAAATACCATAATAACGACTTGTTGCGTTGCCAGTTTTTTTTTTATCACCTCTCGTCCATCAAGTTGTTGTGATTGGTTTCCGTGTCCATTTGATTCAATTGGAACGGTATCTTGTACAAATAACACCTCTTGCTGCCCAGGAATTCGTTTACGCTGGTCGTGCTCATCACATCTTTCAGCATGACCGGTCGGTGGTTCATGTTGTTCAAGTTACTAATCGCATGTTGGTTGTACAGGTGCACCTGTGGACGAGCCATTACAGCGGGCGTCAGACATGTAATACATTAATACACATATTATAATAGAGATGGACATCGATCGGTCAAGGCGGCCTAGGGCAACCGGAACCCGATCGCGTGGAACTTCCGGGAAGTGGACATACTGCTATCGATGCGTATAGATATAATATAATAAAGACTGTTGTCAAATAAAACTTCGATTGGGAGATCGCAATTATGTTAAGTAGGTAGGTACTTCCGAGTTCCACCATGCAGAGGCGTGGGTATATTATAAGGTTTTTGAGTTTTGACTGCTTACGTCCAGTGTTTGGATGTAGTGTTTGAAGAGTAAAAAAAAAATTTTGTATAAGCCGCAGGGATTTTTTTTAATGTTATTTAAAGCCGACCACGACTTAATAATAAATATTATATAATATATTACATTGTATGTTTTATTTAGAGTTCGGATGTAATTATATTGAAACTGCACAACAAGGCGGGCTTGAGTTATGACAAACAAACACAATTCTATTGCTGTTTCATATCTGTTAAGTCATTTGTTTAGTTTTAAATATTATGTTTGTCTGTACTAAGACCAATATAGGTTGTACAAACTAAAATAATAATACGTGTTGAAACTTACCTGCAACGAAAAGTATACAACGTCTTGAAGTTTGTTGGCTCGATCCAACAATACGACTTGATAAATTGATTTTCCTTTCCATTTATTAATAATCATTTTTAGTTTCTTACGTCCCACGGCATCAAGCTTGCCTAAAAAAAAAAATACGTTAATCAAATTTGTTTGGTATTAAGTTCCGTTTGAAAAATGAAAATACAATTTTAAATATCATTAAATAAGATGTTATCATTTAAACATCAGAAGTATTTCAAATTAGTTATGCACTATTATTTCCATATATAATTGTATGAGTAACTATTTAATGTTCCATTCATCAGGAGATGATATTATTTGTAAAAACAGAATACATAATAGTCATAACATTACGACAGTAATTATATCACTATAAATCAACTATTAGTACTTACCGATTTTTATTGAACTGTTTTTATTTCGTACTTGATATCCCTTATAATCTAAATGGAAACAAAAATAAATTTATAGTCAATCAATTATATTATTTTTTTATGTATATGTTCAAAACATGTGGCTGATCTTTGTTGTTGATTATGATTTATCGACAAATGGAAATCATTCTCGATAAGTGCTCAGTATATATTATAATAATAATGATATGAAGATCCCAAAAAATTAACATACGCATAGCTTTGTGTCAAGTAGACAGTTATAGCCTCATCAGTCATCACCGTAATACGAACTGTTATGTTTTTGTTTGTACTTATTTGAAGAGAAATTTCAAAAACCTACATGTACGTAAATCTAAGTAACGCTATCAGACAAAATATAAACTCTAATATTCGTCTAATTTTGTACCAAACACGAAATATAAATTTATACTACGGTATACACAGTGACCTGACGGAATGCATGATTAAATCTGCTCAGTGATTACTGATTAGCGTTTACCAGACAATATTTATTGCATGTAAAACTGAAGTATGAACGATACAAAATGCATTCTAAAATGTCGCATAATTAATCATGTAAGCAGTGCAATCAAGAGAAATTAAGTCATCAGATACATCAACAATATATTGACTACACTCCCTCCCCAATATTACCCTCTCCTATAGGTATACAAAAACGCTTTTTCACTTGGCGTGAACCTATACAATAATATTACAGTGGAACCTCGATATCTCGAACTCCGGTAACTCGCAATATCTGTGAATACATTTTTTTTTCATTAATTTACAAACTGTAAGTTATTAACTCGACGTTTTTATATGTCGAATTTTATTTTTGTTTTCTCAAGACTTTGAGGTACCGAGGTTCACCTGTATATAAGGTCGTAATGAAATCCGTAATATAATACTCACGTCTTTGTATGACAAGTGCTGCTTCTTCGTGAGTAGTTGAATACTTTCGTTTATTCGCTGAAAACCATAGTTTATGAGAATATTATTTTAGCAGTATAATATAATTTCAATACATATTTCAATATTGTGACAACACGAGAGTATAGATTATATTAAACAAATTCAAGTACACAAAATACAAGATGTACCAATAACTGGATAAAGAGTATGCCTCTGTTGTGAATGTGCGGGATCAATGTCAATCACATTTTTTACGAAAAACATTTAAAAAATCATCTAAAAAAAAGTAATAAAATATTATAAATAACGAAACTTCCATATTAATACGCATATCAAATCGTGTGCAACTAAACAAATTAGTACTGAAGAGAAATTCGTTAAGTCCAATCAAATGAAAGTGGTTCTAATTTTGTTTAGTTCTCACAAATGTTTTGTTAAATGGAAGTCCGCTACACTGAAGTTGCAATGTATAGTGTATAATATTAGATAAAGTATACTTGTTGAAGGTTTTATATTTTCTTTATATTTATAATTTAATTTCTGTATTATATAAAACACTATTTTCAGCAAATTAATAAATTCGGTACTTTGACAAATTAGAAGGTTTAAGAAAACTACGCTTTCTCGATCAATAAAAAAAAACAACAATAATAACAATACATTTACAAAATATAATGAATAAAAACGCATTAAAATTAGCTCAGTGTTTATTTAAAATTTGTATTATTTCATGCTAAAAATGATACAGAATTCACGCGTGTTAGATACATCAAAATCTGAGAAACCGAACACGTAAATATTTGAATGTCTATTGAGTAGTTATTGTTGGGTAAACAAAAATACTAAAACAAATCTAATGAACAATTATTGAGTAATGTACTGAGTACGTTCAACATTAAATGGTTATTTTTTCAAACTAGGTACATTAAAAAATGACAAAAAAAAAAAAAACACTCCATAAGCTGAAATTGAGAAATAATGTAAGTACCAATAATGTATAATACACTGTTCAAGAAAAATTGGGGGAAAAAATGATATAATCTGCATAGCCATTCAAATTTTACGTAATGAAATATTTTTATCTACGAATAAGACAATATTGTGGTCTAATACATTTTTAAAAAAATTTTAATCACAAATTACAATAAAACATCGAACCAATTTGCGCGGGAAACGATAATCGAATATAATGGACAATTTAATTCAAATTACACAGTTTCGATTAAAATTAAATAATATATACGTTCTATGTGCACTCAATTAATATTAACATCTAATAGTATAAGGTGATCAAGACGATCTAAGTTAGATATTGCTGAACCCATCACCTTCACCCGGGCCGAGTACAGTACAGTATACAGGGTGATTTTTTGAACATGCTCAGCCCCAGTTATTTCCTTTAATAATACATTTATTCAAATCCTGATTTTTGGAATTGTTAAGTATAGCTAAAGACCATATTTTTGGATTGTCACAGGATCGTTCTCAAGCGGTACAGAAAATCTCAAGTAGATGAGGTATACGAAAGTTAGAAAAATCAAAATTCGAATACTTGTACAATTCAAGCACGCGAACAGGGTGAGCATGCAACCTAACCTCTACGTCTGAGTTAACGAGGATCGAGAAAGCAAACTAAAAACAACAACAACAACAAAACACGGGAACAAGACTGCGACTAAGTAGACTTGGATGCAAACAACTATTCAAGTGCCCAATTATTAATCAATTAAAAGCATTTATACTGACCCGTGTGGGAGCTGACGCCGGATAGACCGTGGTGACTTTCGAACTCCAGAACTTGTGAAATCGGATTTCGCGTGATGAGTGGTACAGAGCACAATATATTCTAGTAGGTTTAGCTGCAGACCAGCGATCTAAACCGTGTCGGCGGTTCTCAGATTTCGATTTTTGAAATAAAAATTAAAACGGCCAACCGCGTCAATAGTGATCGCACGAAAGCCGAAGTACGACCAATAATATTCGTTCGTAATAATTATTAAAAAAACATGAAATGTGTATGAACATGTTGAATTAATAATATCATATATTACATCGAAACAATGTTTACGTTTAACATATTTTTCAATAATAATAATCTGGTACGAAAAACGAGACAACTGCTTATTCAAATTACAACTTGATTAATATTTATCACGACAAGCAGACAATACATCTTAATTATATCATTTATTAAAGATTTTTCTTCATTATATTATCGTTAAGTTCTTTTTCGACTTCTTTTGAGCGTCCTCAATAATTAGGCTGACAATGTGACATAATACTAAACACATTTATGTCGTTTTCTCGAAAGAAATTCGCACAGCCGTAGAAATAGCTGTTCAACTCCTTTTCGTCGGTTATTATAGGTATAACGATTACACTATATAATAATATAATTCAATAATAGTTGTACATCGTCTGTCGTTATAGCCTAATATTTTCTTTGCCCGGAAGGTATTCTTTTCCGACGATATTTTTAACCTTGAACTATTTTTTTCTATGATATAATATAATATGTTATTATAATGATATGTACAAAGTATTTTCATGGACCGTGGTTGGAAAACTGACACTCGGTGTATCCGATTGATATTTTTGATCCTCCGGCAGATTTCGAGATCGTATATATTTATTTCAGTGGTTAAAAAAAAAGAATAACGATTGGCCGGCAGTGATAAAATAATAAAATATTAAAATGTAGGCAACCCAAACAAAATCTAAACCATCTAATTTATTCTCTAACACTATACTTATAGGTATCGTAAAGTCGAAGGGTTTGTATGTTTTAACGCACAGCAATTCTCAGAAACAATACTAGACCGACGGCCACGCAAGTTATGACGATAGATTCTTTGGGACTCGTGTTTCGTTTTTAGCCTATTTTAGACCCCTATATTATGCTGCTGCTATAGAGTGACTCACAGATGAATTTCGTTTTTGCAGTCGAAAATCGAATATTTATAAAAATTTTCCGTCGATTTACAGAAATGAGAAAAAAGTTTTTTGTGAAACAAAATGAAATGAAATAAAACTCATTGTTTGTCATTCAAATGTACACCGAATGGCCGATGACCGTGTGTTTGTAGCTCAAAAAGACGGATTCCGTCCACTTTGACGAAAGTTACGGTTATCGATCTCAAAGAACAGAAGAGTTTAGAGAATTATAGTTTGAACGGCGTTAGAACACATACCGAGCGCCAACGAACGAGGTGATCGGCCGATATCGGTCGAATCAGTTGACAGAGCGACTGACGCCGATGCCGATTTTCCCGTGAAACCGAACTACACCGATACAGCACCGCATTTTGTGTCTGTTCATTTTTCCCTCGACCGGAGTCGGACTGTGCATGCATGATATAAACATAATAATATACGAGCACCAAACGAAAAACCACTTATTTCCGTGTTTTTTATTGTCTTACGAGCTTGTGTGTGTGTGTGTGTGTGTGTGGGAGAAAGAGAGAGAGAGACAGAGTGTGCAAGTGAGTGTGTTGTTCGTGTGTCTCAAAAACGACGGTATACACTCGAAAGCGTGGCAGAGAAGAGATTTTTTTTTTGTCGCGTTTCGTTAGTTTTTTGCGCTCCGCCAGTACGTTTAAATCTCCGTCTCCGCGATCGTATTATACATTATAATGTTTGCGAGCGCGCCCGAGTGTGTGTGTGTGTCAGGCAAACGGCGTGGGGCTTTGGGGCATGGCTGCTCGACCGCCGCGGGGGAGGGTAAAGTCTCTTTGTGCGCTCGCGGCCCCTCGGCGGTGCCGACCAGACCTTTGATCCGCTTGCCCGACTTCAAAGGGTAAGCGCAATTAAAAAGCCACCCCCTGTGCCCCGCGGGCGCGCAAAATAATCTCTGCCCACTCGTCCGGAGTAGCAGGGAACTGCCACCTACACCCTCCCACCGCGCCGAACAGCCCCGACCACCAGCCACCACCGCCGCCGACGACGACAGGAATCTCCCGAACACGAGGGTCCCGCACCAAATCCTCCGAACGCGAGCGCTTGTCATCGTCATCAACGTCACGATGACTTGTACCTACCCTTTGGTCGTGCACAAGTAGCGGCCTTGGTGTACGACACAATATGATAATAACATATATAATGCTATATTTGTGTGCAATATATTATGTGTACGCGTAAGCATCATGTATGGTGCGCGGAGGATTATTATTTTTATTTACGATTATTATATTGCGTGCAGCGCGCAGTTCGTCAGTGTGTAAACGTCTGTGATTTGTGATGATTGACTTGCGCGTCCACGGCCGAAACAAGAGCATTTTTTTCTGGGGAGAGGAGGGCATTTAATATACGCCGGTACTAAAATGGATTACATTTACTTCATCTATTAATAATTGGTGTAACAGTATACTGTCCCAGCTAATAGTGCATTGTAGACACGGGATCCTACGCCGTAACTTGATGGGGATATCTCCTATGCAAGCATGCTTATACTTGCATAGTCGAGCTCCCAGTATAATTTTTTGTCCGTTCAAATTGTAATAATATTTTTAATGCAGTTAAATGTTTGATTCCCGAGTGTTTGCTATATTTTATAGGAAATCATAAAAAAACATGATATCACTATGCATTGAATTATACTAATAATTGTAAATTCATAGGAATTAACAAATTTTTAATTTTGACATTTTTGCGATTGTATGATAATTACTCCTTGATGGTAGAATACCTACAGGTTATAGATATCTAACATATTTCTCGATGGAGTATGAGAAATTCTTGAAAACCATTTACAGCATATTATACCGAATAGATTGGCGTAAATAATTACCCCGCTTATGTCACCAAACTATTTGTGTTTAGTCACTGGTGTCCGGTATGTGTTTATTATACCAGTAACCAGTGCGTTATTCTAGTTCACTGTTCTCTGGCGTCTATTCATTTAAACGACGTTGAATTCCAGTTCGATCATTGCATTTGAAGTACATAAATAATCAATTGACAATTGGATATTTTGGGCCTTGTGGAAATCCTGAGTCATGATTACCGCCAGTTAAATTATTAATAGTAATTCTACGCGCGCGCGCACACACACACACACACACACACACACACACTTTTATTTTCAAGTCGATTTGAAACCCCTATCCCTCCTACATACGCCAATGGTGTTGCAGATGAGTTGAGGTATCCAAAAGCGTACTTTGATGTGATCACTTGATCAAACTAAACGATTCGATGTTTTTGTCGTCATGGTAGTCATTATATTCCTATACTTTGAACTATCTGTTTACAATCAATCCGAATTGGGGTAGCCGCCGTGTTTAACAAATTGAGCAAACATTTTTATTTTGAAATGGATTTCGAGCAATAAAATTAGTTGTTAATTTAAATACAGTGTAATAATATTACGGTATTTTTTTAATGAGCTATTGTCTACAACCCTCTTTGGGTACTGCAAATCGTGTAAAAGCATTCATTATTTTGCTACATAATATGCATTATACCGAGTCACGAGATGCTTTTAAGTCATTGGCAAGGGTTGAATACGGTTTTTTTTTGCAGCTCTCATTTTAGACCACCGCTTTAAATTAAACTCAAGTGCATAGTTTCCAAACATGTTTTATTTTTATTTAATACATAATATCCAGTATGTGCTTTAGGGGATTCAGAAAAAATAAAATTAGCTTGATAAAAAATGTACTCAGTTTTAGTGAATAAAAGTTTAATGTTGTGTGAATTTATTGGTATGGAAATTTATCTCAATAATATTTATATCTGTTGTATTTTCTTGGTAGTATAGTTCAATATTATGAGAAACACAAAATGATTATAATATAAGAACCTTCCCAACACTTAAAAACTACTCAATAAAAAAAATAAGTTAATTTTTTCCGAATATATTTTTATTTTATTATTTGTATTATTTTTCCAACTAAACAACACTACATTACGAGAGTCTACTACAATAATTTAATGACTATGGATTATAATAGTTTAATATAATAATATAACGATACAAAAAAAAAAAGTAGTAAAATTGTATGTTACTTCAACAAACTAGTTTAAAAATATTAAGACTGTATTAACGCATCGTCATTACCAGATTGTTGTTTTATCAACTGCGGTCCAATTTTCCTTTTCGTGATGAATGCTCGGAGCATCGACTGCACTTTTATAACTTTCTTCACTTGGGTCTCATAGAGTCTGAAAGTGTGCAGTTAAATTAAAAAAAAATAATGTTAATAGGCTATTTTTTACGAAAATCGTGAACTTTCCAATCACAAGTTGACGTTAATAATGTAAGGGCAGTACCGAATATACGATACGCATAATCAAATGGGTCATCAATAGTCATGTCGACGACTAACACATTGTTTCAACTGTCTAGAATCTTTAGATGTTGTACGTACCTGGACAAGTATTCCTCGTTGTAGTACCGTAGAAAAACTTTGCTCTTTCCAATAAGCCACCCTTCCATTTTTAGACGAATCAGCAATAGTCTACAGTTTTCCTTGGTGACTTCAACGTTTTCGTAAAAATCGAATGCCAAAAACTTATACCTGTGTGACAATCATTCTATTATTACGACCGTATAATATGTACCTATGTATTAAACATACGATTCAAACAAATAATAGTAATAGTCTATTATGACAAATTACAGATCAGTATAAAACGTATTAATGCGAACTAACAATGGTACGCTTGAACAATTTGAGCAAACAAAAATATAAAAATGAATGTTAGGTAAATTGAAAATAACATCTACATTTTTCATGAAATTATAATTATCGTATTTAAGATTGTAGTAGAACTCCTATAATCTATATTACCTACCACGTTGTGTATAACAAACGTTTGAATAATATAAGTGACTATTATATGCACTATGCACGGTGATTCACCAAGCATGCCCATCCCCATTTTGTCCTTTAATAATGAATTTATTTAAATTTTGATTTTTGGAATTTATATTTGTACTCAAAGACCATATTTTGAAAATTATGAATTTTTTCGTACTCCTTAAAGAGTGCCCTGTTATGATACAAACTTCTGTTTTTCAAATGAGAACCCACCTATTTAACTGTAAATTGATTAGTGAATAATTTTTTTTGAAAATTTATATGCACCATATTCAAGATTCGAATTAGCAGTTTCTTAGTTATTAAAATGTTTGTATTAAGGATAACATTCTTTATTCTTATTTGAAAAACAGAAGTTTGTATTCTCCATAGAACACTTCTTAAGTAGTATAAAAAATCTCAAGAATTTTAAAATATGGTCTTCAATTATATTGAAAAATTAAAAATCAGATTTTGAATAACTGCATTATTAAAGGAAAAAGTGGGTGAGCATGCTTGGTGAATCACTCTGTATGTACATCATAAATAAATAATCGTATAATGTGTGGAAAAGTTTCTTAAGAAAATTGTATTAATTTTTTAAAATTGAGAATCGCAAACAAATATTTTCATTAAAATGGAATTTGGGGATTACAATTTTCGCATGTTCATCAAGGTATATTGTACGATAATAGCCTTTCATCGTGGAATCAATCTGTATTGTTATGTCAGTGATAACAACTGGAAATAAGAGGACGTTGTTTTGGGTACCTATATGTTCAACACATACACCATTTTATGTCATATAATTATTAAAAGTGTATATTATGGTCAGGTGCAAGTTCAAAATTAAAATATTGTTAGAATATTTCAAGTTTATTTTAATCAATGCTCCTTTTCGTATCTTTGCTATCTACCTATTAACTTTTTAAGAGGTTTTTTGTCTGTAACTTGTGTGTTAATAAATGTATTTAAAAAAATTATATGTTTTGGTATTCTAAGAAATTTCTCATTAGTTTACGTCCGTCTCAAAAGCATTCAAAGCTCAAATAAATTGCATCTAATAGACGAAAGCATTGCAAAAATAGGCCCGCATCATCATTTTAGTGCACTTTTTTGGGTATAGACATGACGACATTATTATAGCAATAATATGACGAACGTACAAAGCACTAGGTACGAGATTTATGAAGGGCACAGTAACCGATGTTTTTTTTTATTCAGTAAACATATTTGAAGCTCAAACTTTCTGTAACATATTTCCAAATCGAGTGACATGCTGTCGATAATATTACAATAGTGCCGGTATGTGGTTTAAGGTAATGATATGTACAATTCGTAAATATCTCTATTTTTCTATCCAATAAACTGTGGAGTTTAAATATTTCATTATATTGACGGTATAATGCAACAAGTGGGTATCACGACACTATATGTAATCCATCAATATTAGGTAAAAAGTCAAAATGTTTTAATCAAAATCTCTTACAGCCACGTCGTAGTTCACTGAACAGCCGTAGTAGCTAAAAACACGATATCAGAAGTTTCTAAGCAAACCGTTGTAACGAGAGATTGGACCATTAACTAAAGTGGTCAAAGACTGAAGCTAAGCGTATTTTAACATTTAAATCGTCTCATTGTCGTCATTCAATCCACGGCGACTCGTATAGTCGTCGGCCATCGAATATTACCTGTGTATGAACTCGTGGAACGATATCCGGCAAGAGTAACCGTCCTGCCGGGCGGACACTGTCTCGACGACGGACAGCGCCTTGAGCTGCTGCCTGACCACTTCCGGTTGGAAGCCGAGTGGCTCGTCGGTAAGCGTCGCCCTCATGCATCGGACGAAGTGCACGCCGTTCTTGTACTCGGCCGTGTCGGCCAGCGACCGCAAGATTTCCATGCTGCTCGACCGATACACCGCAGACGCGGTGCGCATGCGCCGAGTTTGCGAATACTCCCCGCGAGATTCCGTGTTGTACTTCTGCGGGGTGCACGATATTAATAATATTTATCTCGATACAAATGTTATACATTTTCACAATAAACAATAACATTTACGGCGGCGTCGACAGACCATATGATGTAACAACGGGGTTAGGAAAACAAAGCAAGTGAATAAAAAGCAAAGGAAAAAAAAGCATATGGAAAAAAAGCAATTTGAAAAAAAAGCGAATGAAAAAAAAGCGAAAACCAATTATTATTACTATAGGTATAAATTTTACATATTAACAAAAATTACTATTAATTTTAGGATTATAATCTATGCTATAGCATACTAGTGAATTATTGTGATCAAACTTATATTTCGGGAGTAAATAGACCAATTGAAATTTCACGGCCAGGTAAAAAAACTAAATTTCGAAATATTCCCCCAATCTTCCCACCTGCTACGTAGAATGTACACGAAACAACTATTAAAAATGCAGAGCGTACTAATAATCAAACAGAAGGATTTAATCATCGATTTTCTAAACTCATTAGCTATAATCATCCCTCTATTTGGACACTGATTAAAAAAATTAGATTAGAGATAGATTTAGATAGCACTATCATGTTGATGCACTTAACATGTAATACCTACACTTATGACTTATTATAATATTATAATATACATAATATATTTAATTAATGAATTATTTTTATTTGATTTTTTTTAACAAACTATTTGTCTATTTGTAATAATTTATACCTATAATAATAATAATAATATTGGTTTTCGCTTTTTTTTCCAATATGCTTTTTTTTCACTCGCATTTTTTTCCTAAACCCGTAACAACTGTTATTGTCGCTTTGTAGTTACTGGTGTACAATATTGTTAAACATATTATGTAGGTTGGGGTTATTCCCGATGCCTCCACTTCTCGTTGGTATATATTGGCTCCAGTCGTAAATATTTGGACATGTTTCTATGATGTTTGTTTTAATTTCTATCGTCATAGGTGGTATAGGTACTATACACTTTCAATCTTTTATGTAGGCATATATTTTTTTGTTTCTGAGAGTAGCGACGAATGTATTGTATTTACAATAATGCGTGTTTTTTTCTGCCATTTACATTTGGGGTGGTAAAAATGCTCTGATCTACGACATCGCCAAATTCTCTGGCAGAAAAGTGAATCTAGTTGAAGTGTTCGGGTGGGAGGTCAAAATTTAAAATTTAAAAAATAAGGTTATTTTTTTAGTGTAACCCACAAATCCATAATCATAGTTCTTGAATTTTTCACCAAATATTTATATCATCATATACCATTTGTGGTAATATTTTAGAAATATTTTGACTTTTTTTGCGAGATTTCTAGCCTTGAGAAATTTGGCGGATTTCGTAAATTTTAAAAAATTATTGCCGATAAAAACTTTTTTTATATTTATCTTAATTTGATTATTTATACATTTATCAAATATTCTAGGATGACCTAACGTCTTTTTCGTATGCAATACTGATTTATCATTGAATTAAAATATAACACATCCATACAATTATATGCTCTATAACTTCAATTGCACAGAACCAACTTGTCCACCTTTTTTTTTTAATTAAATTTTTTGTACATTACAAAAACATTATTAGAAATGGTAAAAATTTGCATTTTTTTTATATTGTAGTTTTTGGACATTTATTATAACTTTAAATACATCATATGACTTATTTTTGGATTCGCCGTATATATCACTTGTTCTAAAGGTCAGGTATTTTACTACACGTTATGGTTTTTACGAACAAAAACTGAACTAATGAGTGATCTATTTATGTGCCTACACTAATTATTTTTTTTATTTTAATTTTGATACATTATGTTTTTGAAAAATAATAACTATACATTCTTAGAAAACTATGTAACTAAAAGTTAAAAAAAAATGTTATGAGTTAATATTCTTAGAAATAATTACTGTGGACACTTAAATAGATCGATATTATGTTTATAATTGAATTTATAACAAAATTTAAAAAAAAAAACGAGTAGAATAATATAATATTGCTAATTAAATAAGTCATATAATATTGTTATTATCATAAATTTGTACGTACTCGAATCGGTGTTTTTTCTGACATCAACGCAGCGCCCCATCTACTGATTTTGCTATTTTTAGTTTTTACCATTAAAGTCTTCTCTCTGCACACGGTTAGATTTCCAGATTTTGTCAACCGGTTGGAGAATAAGTCCTTTATCACGTTGTCTTTGGACATACGCATTGTCTCGACAACTTCAGGTGCCAAGAAGTCACGATTTTTTTCAAGCACGTCTTTCAACTGATATGAGACGGTACCACTATAATGCGCCACGCTAAAGCTCTTTGAACTGGCCACGTGGATGTATGGTTCTTTGGGGTTGATCTCTAGTGCATCTATTATACGAACGAGAACATTTTCATTTTTCACTGTGTACGTACTGCTCATGTTTATTGTCACATTATAAAAGAGTAAAATAAATTGTCAAGCAACTGATTAAATTTTTTTTTAAAATTTTTTCCCTTGGACTATAACAACGTGAAAAACGGATTCAGTATCTTCATAATTTTCATACAATTTATATTTTAAACAATTATAAAGTAGTAAGATTCTAAATAATAATAATTGTTTAATACAATCCAGAAATGCCTGTACTATATTCTAGTACTAGACTAATACAACTTAAATCTCAGAATCCAAAAAATGGTTGATCAGAAAATTAATTTTAATTCAATAACAACCACGATCATTGTTTCTAATTCCTCGACAAAAAAAGAAAGTTTAAATGTACAACCACTACTTATTTGTTAGGAGTTTGTGAAATATTATATTATTTTATTAGTTATTACTACTTATAACACGACTATTAATGGTATGTTTATTACTTGTGATATATTCACAGTTTTCTTCACAGTTTTTAGTAGCATCGTCAAACATGTAAAAAAGTCCATCTGGGTTGTTCATAAGTGCATCTATTATCGGTTTATTGTTTCGGTATTGCATGCTGTACTGGTCCATGCCCTCTTCCTCCAAGTCTTGCTGTACAGACACTTTGATTAGTCTGTTTGTCGACGCAGAGCCGACAAACCATAGAAAAATAAGATATAAAGATGCCATGATTTACGCAACTAGCATATCGAACCATAAGAACGATCGTTTACAAAAGAACATAAAACAATGCGAAGATTCTTTTGTATATTTTATGGACCGATGCGTAATGATAATAATATACTTTATATATACATCATAATCTGCATTATTGTCGAGAATGCTTTAAATTTCTTATGTACTATACTCGACCTGCTGTCTAAGTTCTAACTGCCAAATCATATATTAACAATACAGGGCGATTCACCAAGCATTCACAACCCATTTTTTTGTGTTCAAAATCCTTCACCAATTTTTGATTTTTGAAATTTTAAAGAATACTTGATGACCATATTTTTAAATCCTCGTCATTAAAAATTATTCATAAAATCATTTACAGAAAACAAGGGTGATTCTTATTTGAAAAATAGAAGTGCGTATTATAGGACACTCTTCAAGTAGCACGAAAAATCCAAATCGTTTGAAAATGTGATATTTACAGCTTAAGTGTAATATTTAAAAAATTAAAAATCAGAATTCGAATAAATATATTATTCATTTAAAAAAACGGAAGTGAGCATGCTTGGCGTATCATTATGTGTACTATTATAACTAAATAATAATAATGACGTATAACTCTTTATGAACGTCAATGTCATCCAAATCGATTTGAATCCATTAATTTCATAACAAGTAGTCTTTGTATAGTACCACCTGTGTGATTGTGTAAAGGAAAGATAGACAATAATATTATACTTCCAAGCATTTAGCTAATAATATTATACTTCCAAGCATTTAGCTAATAATATTATGCCTATATATTTCTATCGATATTTAAATTTGTTGTCACCCTTCCTCACTCACCATTACCCAAGCGAACATCCGTTGGTTGTAATGGTACTGGAGTTGTTCGTTTAGACAGTTGACGTATAGTTGATCCAAATTGTTCTGGTGGAAACATTCGAAACCGAACGAGTCCATCAAATACACCACGTGCGTGTCTCCGCTGCGAACAGTTGGATTTTCTCGATAATGACACAGCACAGTACAATATGATATTGTGTGGTGTCGTAATTATTTTTATATTATTGTATTTATTTGTATTGTTTTTTTTTTTTTTTTTTTTTTTTTTTTTTTCGTAATAATATTGTATAAGACTATAGGCAAGTAGGTAGTCATCTCAATAGCAATCATTTCAAATCCGATCGTTTTATACTCGGTCGATTTAACTCACAATATGGCCCTGGTGAACGATAGTTTCAGATTGATGACGTTCACTATCCAATCGAACAGCCTGGCGTACAATGTCTGGGAGAACACTCGCAAGCACTCGTACACCCCCGAAACCGTTTGCTTGCGACGAACCGCAGTGCCGTTGACCACTACGCAGTAATTCAACAACGACCAGCTCAGCTTCTTCGAGTCCACTTCCAACAGTTCGGCGACTGAAAATCAAAAACGCGAATTTAGCCGAATCACTACTTGCCGTTTAAGTCGCTTCCAGCCGTAATGTGCTCACACAAATATTACATTCACAACAATATATCTGATTATGGCTGCAGATGATGTCTAATCGTGTAGTGCGCGCGCAGAGGATTCTTTTACAGTGAACAGAGCAAATCGTCGTTCGTCGTGAAAATACAAAGTTTTCTCTTACATTTCAGTAACAAGATGTGGACCAATGGACATTTTAAAAAACAGCACAATGTCAAAAAAATAAATAATTTGAATTCGTTAGGCACCTATTAATATGCGTTGTTCGTTTGTCGTTTACCTAAAACGCACACCTTTAATGTCGTATAATATTTATGTGTTCGCAAATAACATGTGTACATATTATTATGCGATATTGTGTGCTGCAGCACACGTCATAGTATCATCATTATAGCCCGCACACCCTTACACCGTAATAATTTTTTTCACCGTCGATGAAATCGAAACATTTTTATTTTGAAACTCGTCTTCCGATATGGGCAACGAAATATGCTCAGTACTCATATAGATCTTTACATATCATACACACTAATACAACAGTAATAATAACCGGAACGCCGGGGAAATGGTCGGCACACATTATCTACATATTGTTCCGATATCATTATCTTATACGATTTCGTATATCACGCGCGATCGTACCGCAGAGAGTACTCAGGTATAGGTGCCTGCCTATACCCCGCGCCTACATAATATACCAACTACAAAGCGCATAATATTATTATATTATATTATCGTTACGATGTTCGAAATCAAACTCAAATTTCATCTCGAGAACACGTGGGCGTCGTTCGCCCGGAGCGATTTTCGTGCGTTTTAGAAATAATTCGTGCGGACAAATTGTTTGTGATTTGATCACTATCTCCGCGCGTTCGTACAGTAATTATTATTTTTTGTAACGTATTCACAATAAACACGTTTAGTGTCGGCGACGGTGTCGTGTTTAAGCAGTAGGAACGTGGGCGTCAAGATAATTAATATTTTTATTACCATTATTTAATAAAAATCGGTGTGTTCGGTCTGTGGGACCGGTTACGAAATATCGTAGGCACTGTTGGATTTGGACGATTTGACAAGTCTACGATGTATTAATATAATAACTTGCGATCAAAATATAATACATTCCAACGCCCGCGTGTTCATGCCGATAAAGTAGACATCGCGCGCGGTCATGAACAAAATCGAATAAAATTCACCGATTTCTTGAAATTCCTTAATACTTATTTTGAAAAAAAACATTTCGCTTTTGGGTACACTGAGTTCTCATTAGAAGCACGGAGCATATTATGGTTGCCGTATGAGCTTTTATAAGATTGAATTACTCACTCTTCGCGAGTAGTTCGGCGCCTTCGATCTTTGTCTCGCCATCATCGTCGTCGGAAACGCTCAACTCGCCAAGATTGAGTATGGCCGCCAAAATGCGCCAGGTCGTGTTCAAATGTTCGTCACTAAACTCCAACGTGTCCTTCATGCAAGTCAACAGTTTGTTGAAGTTTTTCACGTTCGACTTGGGCTGGTACCGGAAGCGCTCGTCCGAACCTTCACCCACCAAGTACCGATACCGACGGTCCTCCTCCAAGTGGTATTGCTTGAAAACTTGATCGGCTTTGGCCGCCTCCAAGAAATCGTAGAACACGTGGAAATTCTTTTGTCCATTACTCCTAATAAAAAATAATGTTAAGTGCGTTTCATACCATGATGGTACCCATCATACTTGTGTTTGTTTAAGCATGTAAAATACAATTTCAAGTAGGTAAATAGTTTTAATACCAATATGCTGTTATCTATCGGTATGACAATAAATAATTATAGTTGAGTGCCAACACGATTACAATATTTTTCAGTTTTGTAGTTTAATTTCATAGAATATTTTCAAGTAGTTATTAAGTCGTTTGGTAATTTTTAAATATTAAAATGTCATTACTATTCAATGCTCCGTTAGCAATCGAGTAAATAAATATATTTAATATTATTATTACTTCTTTTTATTTATGTATTAATTTAATAAAAAATATTGTACATGCAACCACAAAGATTGTACTATTAGTAAGTATATATATTATATTTTAAGGGAACTTCAGTGATCAGAGCGTTATTATTTCTTTGTCGTAATGCATTAAGAATAAAATTCGAAAGTATTTACTATACCGGCTACTTCACATGTCTCGTTCTGTAGTAAATTGAAATCAAAGCTTGATCTTACCAACTATCTAAAATGTAACTTCAATTTGTGCCAAGAATAATTATTTTTAAAAATATACTATAAACAGGTATATGAAGTTATCGAAAAATATTAATTGAAATAATAATACGATAGATGCCTGGTGGCTAGATAATACTCCCGTAAACCATAACCGTCAAATCGTCAATAATCTTAACGTGGTATGCGGTAACCCATACAATAATCATGTAGATTCTTGTACATAAGGGTAGACGAAATCGGAACCACTCACTTGGTGTTTGTTACTCTCCAATTTTCTAACTGGTAGATGAAAAATATGGCACCACTGATCTTGCCGGTTGACGAGTATGTGATTTGGGTCTGATTCACGTGCCGAGTGGAGTTTATGTGATATTTGTTGGCCGCGTTTCCGAAAGCTTGAATCACGTCTATGGCGCATTTTATTTTCAAACCGATGTCGTTCACTTTGATGTGGTTTTGCTTAAAATATCAAACAAAATAATAACATGATTGTCGTATATGGGTTTTTTGTTTTTTGTACTATAAGTTCTTATGAGTTTATAATTTCGTATACTCGGTAGAACGCAATATTTTTGTTGACTATTAATTATCAGTGAACACAATAAACCTATTAATATGATATTATTGTACTATTTTCCTAACATTGTTTTCTGGAGATAAATATTTGTCATCCGACGGTCCGGAGACCAATTAGTTCTATATTATTGAAACGATGTAGATACATACTGCACGGGCTTATCTACTGATCGCAATATAGTGACGGAAGAAAACCATGTACCAACCTCTCCCAAGAACAGCAAATGTTCGATTAACTTCCCGTAATTCAACGATTTTCCCGACTTAGTCTCGCCCGCCATCAGTATGTGTTGTGGCTGTTCGTGGTGTAGCATGTCCTGATAAGCTGCATCGGCCACGCTAAATATGTGAGGCGCGTTATCGGATCGGCATTTGAATTGATAACGATAATGATGCTGAAACGTACGACAATAACAACAAGTATTAGCAAGCATAACTGGTATGAGTAAATCGTTATAGATAACCGCAATGATGGTTTCAAAACTATTATAACACGGGATATGGACTTGTTTGGGAGACGGTATAACAACCAATTTTGGTAGGTAAATTAGATACACAAATCACAGTTATTGATGACTAGAATGCAAGGCCGTCTGAGACAATCAAGGCGCATACTGTTTTTACAAAAATATAAAATCACGCTTAGTACAATAGTCGATAAGCAATATTATGGTTACAATATGTAACGTTTATAATGCTTTTATTTTTAAAAATTTCGAGGGGGGTCCGGTCCCTGGACTGGTAAACTCTCCAGATTTTTGAAACTAACAAATCTTTCTAAGTTTACATTATTCGGTTTACGGGTAAATAGATTTCACGATAACTAAAAATGTGTGCAAAATAAGTCTTTACTGTCTTGGGGAGGGGGAGAGTATGAGTTGACAGACCTCGTCCAACTGATAGGGGCACAGTGGAAATGGAATATTTTCTAGTGGCTTTTCACGATTTTGGTAAATAATGCACTTCTGGAAAATAGTTTATTTTCGCTTATAATCATAAGCAATTTTCACTAAATTCAGCATAATTTACCCGTTTAGTAAAAATAATTACAGATATAACGATTATTATATCATCTAACCACTTTATAATTTAACAGCTTAACACTGTTATAGATAGTATGATTTTATTGATTATATTAAAATATGTTTCACATATTTTAATTTGTATTTATTTTTCAGATCGGCGTTATTTGTATTTATATGTTGGCATAATTGCTTGGTGTTCTGTTGTATATAACCAGTATACATTTTTTGTCTCATAAGTTCATTGATTTATATAAATATGTCCATAGTATTTTTTTTTAAATATTATTGTAAAAACGATTTTAAAAATAACAAAAATTAAATCACATGACAATCAAAATAAACTCAAGTGGAATGGCACTAATTCGCTGACAAAACTAGTTTTCAAAAGAAATAGGTATATAACTGTATAGTGTATAATATTATAATATGACATACCTACTATGACAATACCATGACCTACGCTATTGTCGCAAGCGTCGGTACCTATTTCGTTTTAATATTATAATATAGTAGAAACGTTCGGAATAAATTATATACGCGGGAGGTGTTGTATACAATTCATTATGATGGAAAAAATTTAAAAAAAATAATTTTCGGTAATTTGTTTTGGTAGGTAACGCAGTGCAATATGGTCACGGTTACCTTTTTCTCGTACAGAGGCTCGTCTCGATTCGGGTTCAAGTACAACAGCACGTCGCCGACAAACGTGTAGCTCAGACCGTCCGAATGGCGATTTTGCAATTCGTCGAGAACGGTCTCTTCGGACACGTCTTTCAACGCGGCTAAATCTTCCAGATGCATGGGTTTGGCAGCTTCCTTTTGATTCACCTGCAACATAAATCACTGCCATCATCTGAGATGTGTCGTGCACGTCCAATTTCCAGCCCGTCGTGTGCAACGCAATTCGCATTTCGCACCGCACACGCTCAATAACAATTATAATAACTCTACAAGACAATGGACGCGACGAGGTCCGCGGCGGACGTGCGGTTTGTTTAGCAGCTCTGCTCGCCGGATTCGCTGCCCTTATGTTTGTCGGACGATAGAACCACACGCATTTTCAATTCTTCATCATTGTGGTAGTCATGTTTTTTATTTTTATTTTTTCATTTTCAAACATATTTTATAATAATATGTTATTCTCTAATGATGATTGGCATTTAAATACGCTGAAATGCAATAAACTTCAAAACGCTTGGGTACTCGCACTAGCGGGACTTTTGCATTGTCCGTACAATAATAATTGTGTTATTTGGTAAACATCGTAGCCGTTTATTTTTTCTCGAGACTAATCAAGTAGTAGAGACGTTCGTCGGCGAACGTCGTGGCAATGACAGTTGATCGTATAATACTCGTTGAGATTTCAAACAAATAGGTACATTTAAATCAATTTTATTTTCCCTTTTTGCGTTGATTGTATTGTTTTTTTTTTTTAAATTGACAGGCCAACGACGGATGGCGTACAGAAATTAATATTGCAAGTAAAATATACAAAATACGAATATTACACAATTATTTGCATATTATTGTGTGGCCTCTGGCGATATTTATTGTATACAATATAAAATCTACCCACTTTATTAATATATTCGTATTTAGAAAATTATTTTAATTTTCGAAATCAATCGATGCGTTTAGATTGTTTTACTATCACAATATATTTTAGTTATTATAAAATGCAACAAATATTTAAATTTTATATCAAAAGAAAAATGAAAAATAAACCGAAAAAATTAAATATAGGAAAATATCATTAAATCATTATTCATTAAATATAACTACTCATATTAACGGATGAGCAGCCATTAAAGTTGATAATGAGATAAGTAGGGTTCATTAGGTTTTGTGTGTCCATTATTCAGGCACGAAGCCAGACATTTTTCTAAAATAAAGAACCAATATTTTTAGGTTCCTTTTTACTTGATGTAAAAATTATTAATTTCATTTTCAGTTAAAGTTTATATGGGTTGAATAAAAATTGTAATTGCATGTAATGGTCAGTGGACACATAAATAAATCATTAAATATTTTCTGAATCAATTTCAATTGTTACAAGGTTTGAAAAAATATCTGACAATATTCAAACTCGAATATTATACGATCCTGTAAGAATTACATAATGGTTTCCTATTCTTATGTGAATATTACTCAATCCCATTCCCGCCCAATTGAGTTTTTTCAATCTCAATTCTCAAAAGGATACTGTTATAATTTTGTAAATTAAAATTAAAAAACCAAAAAAACATATTGTTATAAATATTTGGTCATAGTACTTCTTTGATTTATAACTAATTTTAAATATTATACATTAATAATACTTGCTTTTAAGTATCCATTTTTTATAATCCTGACTTCTGGTTTTCGAATAGACGTCACGTCGTCAACAATCGATGACATAACTGACTTTAATTCTTGTTGTACCTGAAATTATAAAAAGTAATATTTTTGAAATCAAACATGATGCGTTATCTGTATGGAATATAAAACGATTTGAATTTTCAAAAATAATGAACCATATAAAATATGTTCTGTTAAAATATGTTTTGTATTCGTAAGAGTTATTATAACTTATGTCTGACTATCTAACAATGTGTTCAATGTATAACTTACATTTTCTGGAACTTGCGTTAAAAACGGATGTTCTAAAAGCTCTTCCATGTATGGACGGTGATCAGGATTTTTTTCCAAACACCTGATATAATTTCAAAAAGACTGTTAGCGTGGCATTTACATAGTCTAGGACTACGTTTATTATTATTTTTAACAGTGGAATAGTAGCATAATATATCTGCTTACACTGTAAGACATATGAGTTAATAATTTACGGTGTTTGCAGTTCTAATTATTATTTTGAAATCAAGTATGGATATTGGTTTCAAGTATACCTACGCTTAAACACCGTATGGTATTGAAAATTAAACTTTATCGTTAATTAACATAAAAAAAAAACTTTCAATGCAATAAAAATCATAGGAAAAACAAAAAAAAAGTATTTTCAGCTCAATTATAGTCGTAACTATGTATATAGTGTATAATATATGCGGCAAAATCACTACGAAGACTGCGGGAGATTGAGCTCTAATAATCAGGTGCTACGATTTATTCTGCAGAACAGCGTTTGATTTTCATATTGAATTAATCACGATCTGAATATTTGATTTAAAATTTTTTAAAAATATGACAAAAGACATGTTGAAAGTGACATTGTATATAAAATATTACTCTCGTTTACAATATTATAGGCACTCAGCAAAAAAATGAGTAAATGTACTTGTGAACACATATTCAGTGTTTTAAAACGTCAAATATTCTTTTGTTCGTGTTAAACAAAAGTACTCATAAGCTGTTCAATCACTTCAATCTAATTACAACGGCGTTCCCTTGATCGGATAATATCTGAATATCCTTTCTTTTGCTCCAAAGAGCACAACTACTTAATACGGGGGATATTCAAGTCAGTTTTTCTTTTGTATCACCAGTCAATATGTCGGGAATATTAGGTACCTACTTGTTGTTCGATATTCTGTTTACAGTATACCACATTACATGACCTATAAAAAAAACGAACGGGTCGACAGGTTAGTTATGCCATGTCCACTGTTTCAGAACACTATATAGATGGTATTTTTCTTTTTGTCCAAAACACGGTTTTTAATATTTTTAATATATTATTAAAAAAAAAATAACTAAAAATAGAGTACGAATGTAAGTATCAGCGAGTTGACAGGAAAGGTCAATGTACAGATTGAACGATACAGATAATGGCAAGAGGAGAGGTGGTCACACGTCGTACACTTCACTATCATTAAATTGATATAGTCACTCACGTGTTGTTATTTTTGAAGGACGACAAATCATTGTAAATTTGTAAACCATCTAATGCTAAAAACAATATTGAATGGATCTTATGATAATTTAGAGTTTTCCTTAGGTACTAGTACTCATGAATAAATATTTCAATAAACGGTTTTTGATAAACCTTCCAAATTTGTTAGGATTAATAGTATTATAGATATCTGTAACGAATATTAGCCAACCTTGTGCTTATTTTAGATGATATAACAACCACAGTACTCTTAAAAATGTAAAATTTTATCAACAAATAAATAAACAACTCATTAACTATAAAATATAGTGTTATAAAATTCAATCTCAAACATGAAACGCTTACAACAATTAAACCAGATGTTTTACCTTGTATAATAAAGTGATGAATTTTTTGGAAGTTATGTACATATTTTAATTTTAGAACGGTAATAGAATGATGTAGTGACATATCGCTAAGAAAAAAGTTCGTTGGCATACTCTTTGTTCACCTACCTACCCATAAGGTTACATTAGTAAATACCTTAAAATCGTTAAAATAAATTCGCTGTGCTTCGAAACATTATTTCATCTACTCTCTTGTTGTCAAAGTAAGGTACGAGCAGTTTGTACTTTAAAAAAATGTCTCGTGGGTATTAATTGTATTCAAAAAAATAATATAATATAATATAATATAATATAATATATAATCATAAAAAAAAGGTTATGTAATTGCAGAAGCTTTAATTCCTATTCAAATAACTAACGTATACCTATAGTACTTCGAAATGTTCTGAACTTTTGAACAATTCTTGAATAAAACTAAGTTAAATGTGCTATATCTTAGTTTGAAGTATTTCTATCATAAAAAAAAAACACGAGTTTATAGAAAATAAATAAATAGTAAAATTAAAACTCGCAGATGAATAATTTTAAACTTCTATAGGTGTAATGTATAGAACTTTAAAGTTATGAAAGCTAGTCTGTAGTCCATCAGTTACAATTCAATAAGAACGCATCTATATTAAGAATTGTCTGCAAAACGACGTAATTGATAATTGCTCGTTAAATGCGGCTTAATATTCAAAAAATAATAATTTTGATGTAAAATTCCGAAAAAATCCAAACCTTATATTAATATCCTACATCAGTGTCGTTTTTTTTTCTACGAACCCAATGGTCACGTAAGTAGCGTATATTACATAGGTAGGTAATAGGATAACTTATTATTAAATACAGGTACTGTATAGCGTGGAGTAGGGATGTATACATATTATATACTATTAGAGTATTAACGATTATTATATTTTACTGTGTTACCACCTATGAAGTCTTTTAACAATATTTGTAGTGTTTCAATAACACAGTGCGTATCACCGATATCAGACCCGGTATTCGATTAAATCGTTGAAATTAATATTTCCAGGTGGCCACCTGCCCACCAAGGTGTATAATATCATATATAAATTATCAACTATAATAATACACTACCTATGTACATTATATTTATATATATATACAACTAATCGATCGTTTTCGTTTTTGTGGTTAATATTATGGTAACACAGCCGCGCGGTATTAACCACAAATCACAATGCAGCACTGCCTCCCCTTTACTCCTCCCACGCATTAACTGTAATTGCTTACTCGGCAATGAAGTCATTAAACAATTGCGACCAGTTTGACGGTTTGGATAGTCCTGGGGGCGGATTTCTAACAATTTGGAACAACGCCCTCGTCGGGTGGATGTCGAGGTACGGTGGTTTACCGTCACCCAACTCAATAGCGGTAATACCTAAGAAAAAAAAAATTTCACATGTGAATTAACTATAATATGGTCTATTTTTTTAAATTAGATATTATTTTTTCAATGCGTCGAGGGCAAGACTACAGGGTGAATAAAAATATATTAATTGAAACATCTATGTTTTAAAAAATTTTTACTAAGTGATTATTCATGATGCGCCAACGAACTTACCGACTGCCCAAACGTCGATTTTCTGATCGTAATATGGCTGTTCGCCGGAACTGTCTTTGTATTCAGCCAGAACTACTTCTGGTGCCATCCATGCGGGAGATCCAACTCCCGTGTTAGCCTTATATTCGGGACCCTGTAGTTCCCTTTATAACAAACGATGTGAAACGTCAACACTATTTTGATCACTGCATTTTTTATAATGTTTTTTTCATAATTTTATGCTAAACAGAAAAAATCGGTTAATTTTTGGCACACGGCGCTAGGAAAATGTATTGCCACAGTTGACCATCCAGTTTTAGTGGTCTAAGAAAGTGGCCAGAGAAATGCAAAGAAAATAAAGCGTTTGTAAAATGGTTATTTTCATATTGCCGGATTTCCTATTTTGTCAGAAACAATATGTGAAATAGGTACTTATTCAACATTCAAAACAGGATAGTTGTTAATTTGTTCGTGTACATTATTACTGGACTCGACTCCAATGTCAACCGATCGGGAAACATGCAATTTGCTTAACGTTTTGAACATTTTCTCGAGCTATAATGTTTATTCTGGCGGGGGAGTAGACGTTCCACTTCGCGTCCTAGCCGTAAATATGTTCAGCTTTAGGGTTTAGCGTTCTATCTCGTTCGTCTGGCTAACGTTTGGAAACAGCATTCAGTGTGTGTGTGTGTGTATGTGTGTGTGTGTGTGTGTGTGTGTGTGTGTGTGTGTGTGCGAGCGCACATGCATTATTATTATAACAACTTTACCTGGATTGACCGAAATCTACCAATTTCACTTCCCCGTTCTTCGTCAACAGCACGTTCGAGCCTCGGATGTCTCGGTGAATCACGTGATTATCGTGTAAAAAACACAAGGCCTATACAATTTAAAAAATTAAAAATCGTTTGATTAGGTTAGGTTGGATTATTTATTTATTTATTTTTATTTTTAATAAATTAGAAGCAATTAGGTACGTATACTGAAGCACCACGGCCACTGCGTCGTTTCAGATACAAGAAAATTAAAACACCGCTGAAAATCAATAAATAATGTTACGTTTATGCTCGTTATCGTCGTATAAGAAAGTTTGAACATTTGAGTTGAGACAAATCAAAGCTCACCCGAGTGGTGAAATTTTTTTAGGTTGCATTTTTTTTTAATCGTATAAAAAACCTTCTTGATTAATTATTTTTACCTACCAGATTGGCGTTTTATTATTATTTAATTCGAGAAGTATCAACATTCAAAATGTTATAGTTATTTGTAATAATGTTTTGAAAATAGTTTGTGTTTTTTTTTTCCATTTAGTAGATAGGTACCTATTTGGTATTACGTATTATTGTTGAACACATACCTTGATCAGTTCTTTGAGTAAATATCCGATGTGCTCTTCTTTCATTTTTTTGTTCTGTAACAAAAGACCATTGACCAAGTCCACGATAGTTCCTCCTTCGCACATCTGTGAATAACATCGAAAAGTTAAATTTTTTGAACCCATATACGTTAAAATCATTTTAAAAAGTATGTCAAAATGTGTTGTAACCAAAAAATGTATTACTTAACAGAACGATGAACGATAGGAGCAAATTATAAGATATCTAAATTGTTGTTGTAAATATTTGAATATGATTTTAATTACATTACTGATAAGACGCATGCAATAGGTATTATAATATGTACCGAAAATTAATGACTATACGCGTATTACGAAATTTAATCCTTATTAATATCCTTAAATTAGTTGAAGTGAAAGAAAAGTAAATCTATAAAATGAATTTAAATTTAATTTTAATATAAGTAACATGTATACCATTTATAATTTTACAAGGTTTAAGTGGGTATCTATAAATCATGGAAAATCGGTACTGTGCAGTGTATTTGTGTGCGAATATTAATCTCTCCAACATGAGTAGGACTAAAAACAAATTATGGAAACAATAAAACTAAGACATCTATAATAAAAAGTAGAACTATAATTATCGAGCACATCATTAATATTAATACAATCAGTTGGATATATTATACCTCCATGACAAACCACAATTCGACAGCGTTATTTTTGGTGTAAGCGCCGTAAAAGTCGGGCATGTTTGGATGCGACGACAGATCTCTCAATATCCGATACTCTTCGTTGGTGTCTTTTTCGCTGGCCGTATATTCGTTGAGTTTTTGAATTTTGATCGCAACATTTTTCCCTGAATTATAAGGGTTAAGAATTCATGCAATTGTTGTTCCATTAAAAACTCGCCGTGCACAATATTGTAAGAAATGTAATAATAAGTTAGGGATTAGGACACACGTTTCGTTTAATAGTACACATAATATCATTTATTTTGGGACAGCATTTTATAAAAATACAAAATGAATACGCCAATAGTACAACAGTACTTGTAGTGAAGTTGTTCATATTTAAGCTATTAAATTGACGTACCTTCAGAACAACACATTTTTTTTTTTTAACAAGAAAATTGGTAACACGTAGTCTATATTATAATATAACTTTAGTTAGTGAACATCTAACTATAAAAGTTACTTTAGGTAGGTACTCTGTTTTGAGTTTAACCTCTCCCATCACATAAATCATTAGTGAAATTGAAAAAAAGCATGTGTTTTGAAATTGCAATGTAGGTACGTACTTAAAAATAATAATTGCTGAAAAGAAAAATACTTAATAAAAAATCTTTGCTTTACTAATGCGTAAGACAACTACTTGTTAATTTGTTTTCAATAAGTTACAAGTTATAGTGTAAATGTGTTAACCATGTTTACTTCTGGTTTTCGTTCAATTTTAAATGTTCAAAGTGTTCAAACTCTATTGCCGAACAACTAGTTACATATTTCTATGTCTACATTTCCATTTTGAATTTATTTTTGTGATAGTTAGACAAATTTAACTGAAATCAAAGCAATTTCGTAGACTCGTAGGCATCCTCAGCAGCATTACACAAACAATAAAAATAAAAAATCATCTCCAGTTTATATTCTCATCAATCCTCAGCTTTGACGTCATGCGTATCTACTGTCGTCACGCGTGATATTTTACCGATTAAGTTTATAACGTAAGTGTTATAGCAATGTGTATATTCTGCTAAGCCGAGCAATATATCATATTATTGCTTTCAAATATGATGGAATGAATAAGACATAAAATAGTTTTATAAAAAAAAATGTATTGTATAAATATAAAGCACAATCGTCTCAATCGAGATATATGTGTTTTCATTCATATTTTTATACTCATTAATAGATCTTTTAGCATCCATTAAACTTATTGGTATGACTCGTGGAGGCCATAAAAAATCAACAGCCAACAAGAACAGAGGGTCGGTGCGACTCTACTTGGAAATCGCTGTTCAATCAAATCGATTTATTTCTCTTTTCAGGTGTGATGAATCTGGCAAATCGCAATACGAATATAATAATTTGCAGACGATTTATAATGATTAAATTAATGTTAACATCGTCGTAATAGTTTGAACAATTCAGAGAGAAATGGAATTTTTGAAATTCAAAAGACAATGTTATGAAAACTAAATGTCTAATTGGCCATTGGCCATGACTGACGTGTTATCCTAGAAAAATATGTTTATACTAATAATTGAGAATATTATGCACCATTTCATCGATCACAATAAAACATCACTGGGAAAAAATTTAAAAATAATAATACCCATATGAAATGTACAGTTGTATTGTCGAGTTCTGTAGTGTTCTTAGTCATCTAGAAAATAAACAAGTATAACTTTTTGCATATCGAAATATCTAATTATATTTTCGTTTTTTGCTGAAATGTTCTTTTATTACATGGTTTATTAGAAAAAAAAAAGTCTTTAATATACAAATCATAATACGACAACCAGAAAAAGTAACAATCTTTTTTGTTATGATATGTTTAATGAATTATAATAATGTGTGAAGCTTGAGCCATATAAACACAAAAAAATGTATAGAGACTGTAGCCACCCGCTATAGCCTTAAACTAGCATAAAATAGTATATAATATTATTAATTGCTGAGTATATTATACCTATTGAGTCTTATAATATTTTTTGCGATACACACATGTCAATTCTAATGCAGTATATTTTTAAAAACAAATTCATGATTTACGAAAAAATCTTTCATATTTGAATGAACCTACTTGAAAGTGTACAATTTTGGTTGTACTTTATATAGAAATAACACAACAATAACAGATTCAAATGAATACGGAAATACCGAAAAAAATCTCAAATAAGAAATGCATGTAATGTAACAATATAATTCTATGCACTCAACAACTGTGCAATTGCCAATTCGTTTGTCGTTGTGTGAGCGTTCATTGTTTTATAATTTAAAAAAACTACCCATACATTTTTATTAGTCACCGTGTCATCGGTACTAATAATGATATATAACTTAGACAATAATTCAAGGACATTAAAAAACCATGCGCAATGAGTAACGAATAATATTGTTCGATTGAGAATGATTGCATTGCTGGACAGCATAAATTCCAAAATTCGCTGACGACAAAATTAGAATGTGTATACATTACACACGTGATACGTCACAATAGTGTTACATAATATTATTAATATTATTGGGTGTGACTATTATCAGTTATTTATTTCGTTAAGGTTCGTTTAGTGTTTAATTTATATCAGCTGTAATTTTATTATTGATTTCTGTTATATTTTTTTTTAATAATTATTATTTTTGGAAAACTTAAACTACTCAACTAAGCTTTAAAGCCAAGTAATTGCAATTTGATTTCAAGGCCTACAATAAATATAAAAGTATAGCAGAGAGAAATCGCATATTATTATACACTACAACTATAAATTAACATAATAATTATTATCATATTATTATATTATATTATATTATGCTAATAATTAGAAACATACATTTTTTTTGTGTAACGCTTTGAGCGAAACACTGTGAAAGAGAGATAATATTTCAACATTTGATGGCTATAATGGTGTTAACGACATTATTTTAATTAACAAAAAGGAACATTTTCTCGAAAACGGGTCGACGGAGGAACCGTTGTCCTCGGAATTGTGTGTGTTGGCCGTGGAGGGGGGGGTTGTTACACTAGTCATTGGCTCGCGGGGCTCAAAATGGGCCGCTACGTTGAATTCAACAATCTGAGCCGCCGTTTCACCCTTTGCTAGTCGTGTGGAATTGACACTTAACTACCCAAAACAAAACCCCCTCAAAGACTCGACGCGTAAAAGCGCGACAACGCGGTATATGTGACGAGGGGATGGCGAACCCAGTACCCACACCGCTTAGTAGTTGATTGACTATATAATATTATATCATAAATTGTTACCGAAAAGAAAAACATTTGGCCGTCGACGGATTAAATTACAATACCTAAGCATTTGAATAATAACTGCGTCGAACATCAAAGTCGTCTCGGTACACCTGAGCGTTTGCGGAAATGAGCGAAATCGAGACGAAGGGACAAATTACATTAAACTGTTTGTAGGACTGACACCACGACGTACCCCCCCCCCCCCCCCCCAAAAAAAAAGAAAACCAAAATATGTCCGAAACTGCGCATCACATAATGCATACAACAGAGGTATAAAATCGATGAGAGGTGGGCTCGCCGTCCCCGGGTCCACGTCCGTCCACCGCTCGACATTTTTTTTAGTGTTTTCGGAGAAGAACAATTGAAAAAAAAATTTTTTTTTTTAAAACCATAAAATCGTCTAACCCGATTCAGTGTCGATGGCTGCGTAAACGTTACAGAATATCCCCGAGCCGAGAATTTTTCCGAGCTCGAAACGGTCCCCGGCGTCCGGCAAGTCCTCCACGTCCAGCCGGTCGGCGCCGAGTAGTTTCTCTCTGCGGCCGTCTCCCATGGCGAGCTAGAGCGTCCGCGTAGATCCTGCTTAGGTCCTGCGTAGGTCCTGCGTAGGTCCTGCGCTCGTCCTCTGGTTTCCTGTCGAAAAAAACTGGCGTCGCGATATTATGCGTGCGTGTTACCCGGACGCAGGCGGCGGCGGCGGCGGCGGCGGCGACGACGGATCGGATAATGTTTCGACGATATCGACTTGCTATTGTTTTTCAACGCACGCGAGACGACGACCGGACCGCGTTCGGAGTGTACGGCAGACCGACTATATACTGTCACACGACGTCGAATATTGTCGTATACGATATTTCGCGATAAAATATTATGGCATTCGATGTGCCCCGTCGTCTGATGGCCGACTGAAGCGTACCCACGTCCGACGGTCACGACCATATAAGGTTTAAAAGCAGGGATTATACACACGGAAACCGTACGAACGCCCTCGCCGACGACGTTGGCATAATTCGATTACGGGCACCTATACATAGGTTCCGAACAACACCGCACCACGCAGTATTATTTTTTTTTTCTCTGATTTTTTGTGTTTTCCCTCGTGCGTACCTACGTATATTACACCACTGCGCGGGCGTATAAAAGTGACAGCCAAAAGGTTAGACCGTGTGCGATCGCCGTACACATACGTGTGCAAGACGTAGGTATCCGATTCTCAGCAGACCTCTGGATAATGTATACATTTTTAATGTCCCCTTCCCCGTAGTGTGTATACCTTTGGACGGTCAATAACGCCCTCGACGGGTGCATCAAGCGTAATATTATTTAATTTGTGATGATGTTGAACCTATATTATTGTAATACGAGGCATCGCCGGTATTATTCTGACCATCGCACACCGGGTGGAAATAATCGAATATCTATTATACGTACGTTTCACAGCGATTGGTCGATACGATAAAATTATAATACAGACGAATATTATGAAATCCGATGAAATATGAAAAAGTGTACAGGGTTGTAGGTAGTGTCCATTGGTTCAGCCTACGGGATAGGTGAGTAAATGTAGGTACTGAATATAATAAAACGATGTACACTAGTAATATACCCAAACTAATAAACTCAATTTTACTGAAAATAGATTTTAATATTATGTATGATATATTTTATGGTAAAAGTTAAAATTATATAGTCTTAAAAAAGATTCTAAGAGGAGAGATTGATTGTACAACGTGTGTTTTTTTTATTTAAGTCTAAGCAGACACTTTTTATGGTATAAAAAAATGTTTTGACTTTAAAACTTAAATGAAGGTTTCAGCTAAAAAGTCGGATATTATTTTTAAGAGGTAAAATTTTAAAATTCTCAGTAGTAAATACTTTTTAAAATAATCAGGAAGAAAATATGAATATATTTTGTTAAAATTGTAATGTTGTTGTTAAAAAAACTGTTTGGTAACCTTGGTTAGGTTAGTTTGACGGACATCGCTCAAAATCGTTTTTCATCGACTACAACGATTTATAATAGAATTAATATTTAACACATTCATTAGCGTACCAATTTAAACTTAACATATTCACACAGCAGCTAACTCTACCTTATTACGTTAGGATAACCGAACCAAATCCATCTACTTCCCCCCTTTTTTAAAAACTATTTATTTGAATGCAACTACACACCGAGCAAACTCAAGTTCTCAGATAATACTTCTCCTGTATTATTTCTTTTGTAGGTATAATCAAAGGCCACAGTGTTTTTACCTACAACCGCTACCAGCCATAGTTAGCCAAACTGCAAAATGTTACTAAACAAAATCACTAAGTCACGGCGTCATCTCTTCGCCAGAATCGTATTGTTAATTTATCATGTTTCGACTATAAAACTATCGATGGTATAATTTGTATCCTGAGTAAAATTATTATTTATAACATGATATACCTTTTGACAGAAAAAGTTAAATACATTTATCCTAGGTTATGCCTCCTCGGTTATCACTTATCAGATTTTATACAATTTTAGCTTTGTACCTTTAAAATATCTACAGAACAAATTAAATTTTAATTCATAATTTTATTTAGATTAATAAAATACTAGTAGTGTAATGGCTATAGCTATAGTATCTTAATTCTCGGAAATGTCGATATATTTTTAATTTTTACTTAAAAGTGTTTTACTGTTTATAAATAGTACATTTTTTTCGATAGCATTTAAAATGTTTTGAATACTGTGAGAAAGATAAATAAAATACTCTTTGATTAGGTGCCAAGCTGAAATCTATATTATCATCACATAAATTCATTTCAAAACTAAATATCTAATATATTTTAATAGGCATTGAAAAATAAGATCATTTTTTTTTTAAAATTATCACTCGACGTGTGAATATTTAATAGTCTTTGCGGTCTAAGGTATTCTTCCAAATGTTATGCTTAGGCAATAAAAACAATATAATTTTTCAAAAATATATGAATTAAATTTTCCATAAAAACAATGCGGATACCTAACGTTTTAAATTATTTTATACGTATTCATCAACGAAAATGATAATTATTATCTTATACACATATTTTTATGCGCGGTTAAAACAAAAACAATTCGGTGAGCTTATTGTCATTAGGTGTATTATATTGTATTGGAAAGGTATTTTGTCAACAATAGGTCCAACACGGGTAACATTATCCGACTACGGTTGTGTTATTTTTCTTCATAATGTCGTCGTTGAATCCAGTCTGATCTTTTAAGCAAATACAGAATGACTAGTAGTTGACTTAGGCGGTCTCTGGCTTTCATTTTGTTTGGCATGCTATTTCACATGTCTACGAGACTACGTCTAACCTTCTTGTCCACTTAAAACGACCACGGTCGTCCGCGCCTACCACAACCAGATTTTCGATATTTTTTTTTTCCTTCTCCTCTCGGCCGAGTTATGTGTCAACAAAAGAAATAAAACAAAATCCATTCCACGCTCACTGAGAAACATAGTAGGTACCGACGACTTTTACTCAAACACACGGCACGAAAACGGACAAGACGTATTGAGTTATGCTGTATTTAATAACACACGGTGCCTACACAGGCACCTACAACGATTGTGTCAATAAATGCCTTTCAATCTATACAATAAGTGTTTTTTATTCAAATATAAATTGACGGATGACTTCCATTATATATTTTTACTGTTTTGCATAACCTTGTCTCTGTGATGTTTTCTGCATTAATGAAACGACATTGAATAAACATAAATCTTTTCTGGTCTGCACTGATATAAATTGGTTATACAGCAAGTCTTTAATTGAAATTTTAGTTCGATTTAGAACGTTAGCAAACAAGTGTGTGCCTTTATAAGGGCTATAATATAATATTATGATAAAAAGAAGAGAGAGAAAATCCGTTTTCATATCATACTACTCAACACTTCCACACTATCAACAGTAAGTCATTTACAATTTGTGTTATTATTTATTATTTAATTGTTCATTACTCGATTGAAGACGTATACTCAAAAAACATAAATGATCTCACGAAATATTGTATTTTTCATTTTTCACTACTAGATTGGTTATGCTAAGGTATATGACCTATGACTTATAGATTTTTCAATACATAGATAGTAAAAATATGTCATCAATTGTTTTAAATAATGGGACTTTTGGTTGAGGAAAATATCGCTTAAAAACTATTTAAATTTTGGCTGCATCGTCTTAGGTTCTAACCGATCTACTTCTACTATATTGTTAATACGATCGACCCCGCATTCCACGGATCACTTCTAAAACCTTAGGTAGTTTAGAATAAATCTTCAGATACTGATTTAACAATAAAATTGAAAATCTTTGTGTAAGGATTGGATCATCAAATGCCAAATGGATAATGAAACAACGTAATATGAGTAGGTATAATATCATATTGCGACATTCAATTTTTAACTTTATTGCAAAAATAAAAATTACTTGTTATGAAAAAAAAGTCCACTACAGGGACGGCACCACATTTTAAATTTTATTTAACCGCACTTACATTAAAATATTTCTATACGCTTACATACACAATAAAAATCTACCTAAACCTAAATAGCTTGTTTTTTGTTTTTTGATCCCGCGTTATATTTTACGAATGATATCTGCGTATCTGTTGTTCGTGTACCCTTTTGTTTGTTTACTTAGAAGTCTCACCGTCAACATATTTTATGTAATAATATATATGTGTACATTGTATGTGCCATACGACACTATTATATATATTACGCATTTTCAATCATTTCTTTCGTGGAAAAATGTCGTGTGTTCTTTAATCCTGTTAGACATGTGTGTGGACTCATTTTATAACTAATAACACAGCTCACCACTGTGATCATATTTTATGACATGACAACATTATGATTCTTTTTATTATGATCAATGGGTTTATGATACTTGACCATATTCCCGTTACCTGAACATAATAAATCGTTTTGTGAAATATAATACAAAATGTACGTTGTGTTCACTAAATACACTATATTATTATTATGTCACACGCACATAATATATACATGATATTTTTGAAGGACATGACTATTTCTGAATAATCCCTTTTTTCAAAACAGGCGCATTATTATAACATATAGCCTGTATAGCTATATATGTGGCCTACACATTTTAACGTTAAAATAAGACGTATTTGGATAAGGTCAAAAAATACGTGACACACAAAGCATCCGATGGTATAATATGTCATGCTATATTATATTTATGTAGATTTATTCACCAAGCAAGCTCACGACCTTTTTTTTCCTTCACACCAAATTTATTAAAATTCTGTATTTCGTCATTTTTAAGTTCATTTTTTTTTTTTTGCATTACATCGCTGGCTTATGCTCAAGGTACCGTTTCAAAAAGATATTGGAACAATATAACAGACATACAAATATTACGTTTAAGTATTATTGCACATATATTCCAAAAGGTTTTAAAGGCTAGAGGGGTTCTCGTTTGCTAGTCGCATCATTCGGAGCATAGGGTAGCCATAGTTAGTGTAATGTCCAAGGACATAGTAATAAGAAGCAGATAGCCTGGAGGATCTGTTTGGGGTTCTAAAATTCACCTCTGCAAGAAGCTTGGGTGCATTGATGGAACCGTTTACAAGCACATTGAGAAGGTTAAGATTGATTAAAACTCTACTGCGTCGGAAAGACTACTAATAGTTTAAGTGGTGTAAGATGGAGAAATAATCTTGGTGTTGACGTTCAATCTTAAGACAAAAATAGATGAGATTAAGAAACTTCCTCTGAGTTCACTCTAATTTGAAAGAGTCAGAAGATCATAAAGAGTTGAGCCTTATTCAATTATCGATCTTAAAAGCTCGGAATAAAGAGAATAAAACAGTTTGAAATTCAAAGAGAAGCGTTACATGAAACCTAGTATTTTTAGAATGAGGTTCTGGGTTACATACAGTACCTAT